TGGGCAGCAGTTGTAGTTGGAGTAATAGTTGTTTGGTCAGCAGTTGTAGTTGAAATGACAGTAGTAGTCGGAGCAACATTTGTTTGAGCAGCAGTTGTAGTTGGAATGACAGTAGTAGTTGGAGTAATAGTTGTTTGGGCAGCAGTTGTGGTTGGAGCAATAGTTGTTTGGGCAGCAGTTGTAGTTGGAGTAATAGTTATTTGGTCAGCAGTTGTGGTTGGAATGACAGTAGTAGTCGGAGCAACAGTTGTTTGGGCAGCAGTTGTGGTTGGAGCAGTAGCAGTAGTCGGAGCGGTAGTGGTTTGGTCAACAGTTGTGGTTGGAATGACAGTAGTAGTCGGAGCAACAGTTGTTTGCGCAGCAGTTGTGGTTGGAGCAGTAGCAGTAGTCGGAGCAACAGTTGTTTGAATGGTGGTCGGTGTTGCTGAAATAAAAGACAACTATGCTTTATAAGATCACTTAATAGAGAAATTATACTAAAAAAAGTTCGTATGTGATCAAACAATACAAAGATCTTAAATGAAATCTGTAGGAGTTACTAAGTAGAGAATTAATATTTGTACTGATTAATTTTTCCAAGAACTAATGTATGAATTATTTCATAGAGTGAATCCATGGAAAAAATACCATTATTTAAAAAAGGTTTTTTTGATACCTTTTTGGGTTCGATAGGTAGTACCGAGGTAGAAAAGGTCTTCGGTCAAAAAAAAACTAGAGACATCTATAAAATTCTTGAGATTTTGTCACATTTTCCGGTACACACCTAGCTAGGGTGTTGGATGGAGGTAATTATTTCAACTAATTCTTCTAGCTAATACTCGAGAATTTTTGATGTAGCATTTTTGCTTTGAAAAATCTTTAAAATAGGTTAATTTTCGTTCGCCCAAGCTTTCTTGTAATAAGAATAGTAGCCACATATAGTGCTTTACGTACACTTCTTTAAGCAAAACTAAAGATTTTCTGTGAGTGTACGGAAGAAAGCATGACAACGTCATGCATGATCTATTCTTACCGTTGACATAAGTGTTTTAACCCTTTAAGAAAGGAGGATGTGGATGTGGGTGGAGTGGGATATCAATCTTGTGATCACTCACATCAACACCCACATTATTCAATGTGTTTCGAATGCTGAATATGAGGTCGATTCATAACCAGTAAGTTCACAAATTTGTTCTAACTCTTTAAAAATGTTTTTTTTCCAACATCTTATGTTGCTGCAATCCCTCATCAAATCGATGAGATGCACACAAATCTTCATCAACTGTGTAATATTCTTGAAGGAAAAGTCAACAACTCGACACAAATGAATCCTCATAAACTTCGTATTGAGGAATCAAATGAATTAATCACAGAACTAAAAAAGTTATTCAAGGAGAGCAATGCAGCTGAACAGCCCTATTTATGTTTCAAGTTGTGAAACTAATTTTCTGTGCTTTTTTCTCGTAGGCTTCAATCAACGGAGCATCATGCACGTCAAGCGATTCAACTTCGAGATAATAACAATGTTCTCGCTTTTCCTCAATATCTCTGTAGAACACCAACAGTCTCTCCAGAAGCAATCAACACTGTCATCGAATTCTATCGATAAGATGACATCCGCCGTATGTCGGCGAATTTAAAGGATGTCATTCAAATCAATAAGCAACCAGTAGCTGTTAGCTTCATGGCAATGACTGTCCTCGATGCTTTCCGAGAATTTGACGAACACAATCTTAGTTTCGTTCGATGCTCGACTGTTTATTCTCTCCTGCCTCGAAATGTCAAGATCGCCTCACCTCATAAACATGTATATGCATATATCATGAGAATATGTATCTGTTACTGCACGTACGTAAAGTCGTTTGATGACGACTATTCGTGGTCTATTTGGAAAAGAATGAACAACAAATTCGATATTCAAAAATTGACAGATTCTCTCGACTCTCTTCTATCTGAAATAGAAAAGCTATGGTCATATTTTCTTCTACATACTTATTACAATCGACAACAACGAGAATACATCGCTTATCTTCGAACATAATCATCAGCATGAAGTGCAACAGGATTTCTTTTCTTAATATCAAGCGACTCTCTTTACCGTTCATCTAACCATCGGATTGGAGCATCGAGATATGGCTACAGTTAATAATTTCATGGAGCATACCACGACATTTGTCTATTGAGCTCAAAGTATGATCGTCAATTTTGTGAAGAAACATTTTTCTCGTGTCGAAAAGATCAATTATTTAAGGTGAGTATTTTATGCAAAATCTGTTTTCATATTTTTGTCAAGAGAAAAACCGAAACGATACTATAGACACTGATACAGAGATAATTGACGATAAGATAGTGTAAATATATTTACTTTTTTTCTTAGCAATGGCGCAAGCGCCCATTACAATAGGAATCTCAGTGTGCTCAATTTGGCATATCACAAAATCGATTTTGGCCTGGATACTGCATGGTCATTTTCAACTACTGGTCATAAGAAGGGTGCTGGATTTGTTGTGGATGCTTTTCTGAAGTCGACTGCAAAATGTGCAATTCTCTCGAAAGGTGTTCGTTTCTCATAGCCGAAAGATTTTTATGACTTCTTGAAGAAGCATAAACTTGAAACAGCCGAAGTCAGTGAAATCGAAAAAATTAAAAATCATAACAGCGTTCCAAGGATAGAAGAACTCAAATCCATAGGTAAAGTTTGGCAATCTTCTGATTCTAGTTCTCTAGATGTATGATTCTATAGGAACAATTAAAGGAATTCGTGATATGCACGAGTTTCAAATTTCATCCAACAAGTCAATTAATTATTGTCGAACTTCAGGATCTCGTCATTCGAACATATTCTCCTTTGAATAGAAATTTTACATAAATTGTTCTTTATAGAAATAATAGTTGCTCAGTGAAATTCGCTGTATTTTTTTGTTCATTCAAGGTTGATTGTATTCTCTTCGGAAGACGAAAATGAGTGCAAATGAACTCATTTTACATGTAGTTTCGTTAGAAAATACGATATTAATAAATCTAGAATGGAACATAGAATAACCAGTTGAATTATCTTCATACAAGACTCCAGACAGACATGCATCGAAAGACATGACAAAATCTCGACGATTCCACGGACATGTTCCTAGTTTTGTTTGACCAGATACGTTTTCGACTGCAGTACTATCTATTGAAACCAAAAAAAGTACCAAAAAAGCTTTTCCAGAAAGGTGGTACCTGTCCCATGGATTCATCCACTATGGAATTATAGATCGTCGACCTGTTTACGGTCGCAGCAATACTACAATCGAGCTGTTGATACTCGTATATGTTACCTGTATGATCACCATATTTAATCGGCTTGGGGCGTAAAATATTCATTAACATGGGAATAACTCAAGAAGACGAGCATATAGACACGAGCTATTCCATTCTTCTATTACTCTTCACTGTAAAAAATAGGCGTAGAATAATAAACTCTTCAAAAGGGTTTATAAGCCTTATAAACGCTTTCATATACCCTTTAGAAGAAATCGTAGAATAAAAGACGCTTTTCCGAAGGATTTATGAAAGTGCAACATATAAAATACCCTTTCTAGGGTATATGAAGGAAAAGCGTATATGAAAGGGTTTATGACACTAAAAGGGTATATGAAAGTGTTTATAAGGTTAATAAACCCTTTTGAAGGGTTTATTATTCTACGCCTTTTTTTTACAGTGTAGGCGCTGTAGCTAAATTTTCCACTCATTATAAAGAGAAAAGCGTGTTAGCACATCCACATGGATTTAAAATGTGAAACACGATATAAATGGTTGTTTTAGAAGTCTTCATCCGAAGAGAAAGAACTACAATTTTCTATATATTTGAATTATTGAGATTTCTGTAACACTCCTCATAGATGTCGAGTTTCTAACTACATCAGATAATAACGGCAACGACAGTGGTCACTTCTTGGAGAATCTATTTAACAATCCTACAGTTGGATTAGCAGTTTCTCGAAGTACTCACAAAGTGAGCTACTATAACAAGTCAGGAGGGATGCCCTTTTAAGCTATATTTCTTCTTATGGTTTTTGGTAGCGGAGAAATCTTTATCTCATGTCTGTCACGTTTAGCAA